AAAAAAAAAAAAAAAAAAAAAAAAAAAAAAAAAAAAAAAAACAAAACCAGGTGCAGAGCCCCACAAAGACTATTTCCAGTATCAGGAACTCAGTAGGCGCTTAACCAATGTGCAGCTGAGTAGATCTCTGGCCATGTATCCAGACAAAAAGCAGCACCAGCAGCAACAACGGGGACCCCCGGCATCGCCCCTTAAAAGTCCCTTTCATCATCACCCCCACCCTTAACCCAAGGCGCGGAAAATATTTAAAACAATTTTATTCATGAAAATATGCTGTACAATGCACTCTACACGGCCTCGACACGGCACACACGCACACACACACGCTGACGGCACGGCCACAGTACACTGCCTACGATACGCACCGGGGACGCCGCACCCACCGCCCGCCCCGACCGGACACTTATAAATATGGGAGAGAGGGGCCAGAACTGGCACGGAGAAAGGGGTGTCGGATTTGGGGGCTGGATCTGGAACTGAGACCTGTTGGAGAGGCTGTGACCAGTACTGCAGGAGTGTGGGGTTTACTGACAGGATAGAGGAAATGCCAGGACCGGCAAAGATGGGAGACACTGAACCAGAGGGTAGCTGAGGACCGGAGGACTGAGCAGAATGGATGACCAAGATAGGTGTAAACGAGAGGGTTGCTGGCTTCGTGTGGTGGTCCTATGGCCAGTGAGGGAAAGTGTCGTTTGAGGACCAGATTGGCGTTGGGTGGGCTATGCGGCACATTACTGCAAAGGCCCAGCAATAGGAACTGAAGATCCAGAAACGCCCCTGCCCCACTTCCTAGGTGGCTTCCGGCATCAGCATCCACAGAGGGCCATCCGCCTGGATCTTTCCCACTCCCACCTAGCTGGACCTCAACTACCTCTCCCAGGCTTCCGGCCCCAGCAGAAGGTCTTAGGAGTTCGAACAGGAATAGCGAGGTGTCCCAGACGCTCCCTCCCACCGCCCTCTGCGCTCAGCTCTGAGGGGATGTCTCCAGCTGGGCTGGGATTGGCTCCTGGTTCCTCCCGTGGAGCTGGGTCGGGGGAGTGGGGACCCGGGGATCGGGATGGGAAGACAGAGGCCCCTTGGGGACGGGACCGGGGCACCCAAGTTGCGCAAGGAGACCCTCAGCCCGGCACCCAGCTCTGGTTAGGGGGCGGCGCCCCAGCCAGGCCAGGGGGCGGCGGAGGCAGGGCTGAGTCGAAGTTGAAGTCCATTTCGTCGCTGTCCATGAAGTCGTTGAGGATGATGGACTCGACGTCACACTCGAGGCTTCCGCTGAACATGTCGAGGTCCAGGTCGGCTGGGAAGCGGTCGGGTCCGGCACCCAGCGGCCCGGCTGCAGCAGCCGCATAGGGCCCGGGTAGCGCGTCCAGCAGGAGGCCACCGGGCGGACCCCCGAAGGCTGCGGCATGGGCCGGTGGGGGCCGCCCGGTGGGGTTGGCGTCGCCGGTCTGGCCTTTTTTTTTTTTTTTTTTTTTTTTTTTTTTTTTTTTTTT